TAGAATGAACTTTTGGCATGTAGATTTCAATCCTTATATTTTGAAAAATTTTCAACATATTAAACATTCTGCCTTGCCAGGTGATTAAAAAAAATCTGTTTCTCCGTTAATCAGTTGTCGCCCCCCTACGAACGACAACTCTCAGAAGTTGAGAAACTTGTGCGAGCTAAGGATTAACGAGGTCTTACATCTTGTCTTTCTTCTTCTGTCATCGAATGAATCTGTAGATTTGATTGGTTTGATTTATAATAATTCTGACCTTTCAATTCCTATGTGACTTTTTTGAATCGTTTAAAATTTTAAGTGTCACGAGTTAAGTTTTCAATCGAATTGTCTCAGAAAAAGCGTATTTTCATTAGAACCAGCACCGGATTTTTATATACAGACCAGTTTAAACTTCTTATCACACAAAAACAGTGTACAATATCGGTGAAAAATCTATGAATTGTAAAAAAATCAATGGGGGATGAAAGCACGAACATAACAGGTGTAAGTCACATAATAATTGTATGTATGTTATTGTATAATTAATCTGAACGGAAATGAAAAAATAAACAAACAGATAAATATCTACCAAACTTGGATACACAACTAGAATTCTCGAGTAATAAATTTTGAAATCCGTTGCGTTTAGGACAAGTAAAATTAGATGTTATATAAAGTTTTTGCAAAAACGCAAATACAAACATAATACATCAATCCCAATATGGTCATAAAAATAATTATTTAAATTGCAGTGGCAGTGGCGAATTGATTTCAAAATAATGGAAACTGAAAAGTTATGAATATTTAATGAAGAAACTTCACAGTAATATTCAATTTTTGATAAATCGTTTTTCTCATCTCACGCCGCAGTGTTCAGATATTCCCTTACAACAAACTGTTGGGTACAATTTGATGCGAGTTGAAAAACTAAAACTAGTTATTCATTAAATGACCTCATATTAGCAGGATCAGGTAAATAACCCATTTTTTCAATTCAATTACAAATTTGTTCGAATGCATATGAATAACATCGAATCTATGGCGAGCTCAAGAGGTCAAATAGCAAAAAATGTTCGATGACGGTATCTCTTCGAAAATAAAATTAAAACCGCTTGAAGATTTTCATGTTACAGAGAATTCAAAATTGATATTACTTTAAAGTGTGGCATATTTAAAATGGAAACATATTTTTTTCGACCGACTGAAATTATTGTTTTTCCATAGATAGACTTTCGAAACGTCTACTAGGAAAGTCAACTTTTCTTATTTTTCAATGTCAAAAATAAAAAATACCTAATGATTGATTTTAAAAACCGACCATACCATTTCAACACATCGCTATTGGAATGTATTATATCAAATTTATGTGGATCAAAGCTCACGCAGGCTTAATAGGCAACGAGAAAGTTGATGAACTGGCAAAAACAGGCATCGGTACAGGACAACGCATTGAAAATGAAAGTGGCGCTGAAGAATGTGTAAACTTAGCAAAGAGTAGGTTCAAGCAATATTGGGCAACAACATGGAAAGAGTATTGTAAAAACTCTGCGTTTTTAGTATCAAAAATCCCAGCGGAAATATGACACAAAAAAATGAACTACGGAAGGAAAACAATTGTCATAATAACCAGACTGAAATTCGGACATGCATACTATCCAGCTCATCTTTACAAAATAGGAATGAATCGTTGATTCAAACAAATGTTCTACATGTAACGTAATATCTGATATTGATCATATATTTTTAACTGTTCTGAATATCAGGAAAAACCAAAAATTTCATGGAAACATTAAAACGGGAAAATATAATACCACCTTTAAATATATTGCACTTACTAGCACTCAACAAACCACAAGTAACAGACGCTATGATGAAATTCGTGAATGATTGTAACCTGAAGTTGTAGACAAGACTTGATGTGATTTTTATGTGCACATGTCCCCATCCTTAAAATCCTTTCTTTCCGCGGTCTACCTATTCTGTGCAAAGTCACCCTGATCGACCCCTGGGTGTTATAAATAATATCCTGAAACCCCTTCCCTTGTTTTCAGAAATTGAGATAAAGAAAACGTTTAGTCAGTCGGTAGCCAAGCGGTTCGGCGTGGGTGCTTTGTTCACTCACTCGAATTGACTGCCGTGTTGGTCGGTGGTTCAAGCCCTAGTCTGAACGATCGATCTTCACTTGCTACCGTCCAACCCGTGTTAGGAATTACACGTTAAAAGGAAAGACCTCGTTGATCCTTAGCTCGCACAAGTTTCGACTTCTGAGGGTTGTCGTTCGTAGGGGTGCGACAGCTGGTTAACGGAAAAACAGATTTAAACAAAGTTGCTGGCTATTATATGGACTATGCGTCCCACGCGACGACCAAAAAAAATACCAATGTATTAAGATGGTCCTTTCATAACTACAGAATAATGCATTCATCGTTGAAAAAGTTGAAAGAGAATAATATTTTAAAAATGTGGCATTCAACTATACCACCATTTCAATCTTAGAACTTTCATCAAAATTATGACTACTCCAATGGATTCAGCCGGTTTTGGTTTATCATTATCCAGAATTTGATCAAAATATGTTCAAGAACTTATTCTTATAATTACCTGAAAATTATAACGGTAAACATTATTGTTGTTGTTCATAATCCCATGGTAGATAATAGTTCATTAATTGTCAATTCAACAAAACGTCGAAATTACAAGTGAAAGAAAAGTTACCATAATATTAAAACAAGTTTTTATGTCAGTGTTGGTGGTTTGACCAATCAACCGACAACTGCGGTGGCAGAAATTTGAGAAGCTTACCTGAAATGCTATAGAAAAACGAATCCACATGTTTCTAGAAATGATATGAAATCGAGAAAGGTTAATGCAGTCAAGCTGCTGGAAAAAAATTCCATGATACTCAAAATTGGGCATCGTCAGTACCGGGCAGGCGGTCCTCGATTGAAGACAAAATGTTGATTATTCACATTTTGTCTTCAATCGGGGACCGCCTGCCCGGTACTGATGATGCCCAATAGGCTGAAACAGCTGTTTACCGGTGGCTCTTAAATTGAGATCAACATGGGAATGATCAAAATAGTATTCATCTATTTATATTTTGATTTCCATGGAATTATTTTACAGTAGCTTGACTGCATTAACCTTTCTCTATTTCATATATACAGGGCTATTAAAATTCGTTTCTGTACATGGGGATCTCGTAAACGATAAGAGATAGAGTGTCGGTTAAATCAGCAAAGTTGCGTATTTTAGAGACCTATTCAGTGATGTAAAGAAATCGAATATATCTCTTTTGGTTCTGGAGATATACACGAAAAACAAAAAAATCCCAAATTATTTTTTTGCCTATATCTTCTTTATTCGGAGACATGTTGAAAATCTGTCCACATTTTGCTATTGGCACTTGATGTGGGCTCTCAGAATATATCCATGAATCTTTTATACAGGGTGTCATCTGATTTGGGCCACCCCCATCTTTTAATTTTTAAATACGGACCTGTATTTTTTGTTGTAGTTTTTGGATCGTAGACGTTCACTTCATACTGAGAAATCAAATTCAATTCTATATTTCGGGAGTTTTCGGTAATATTCGATTATAATTATGTGAATTATTCCCTTTCAAATTACGGCCCTGGAAATTGGTTGACTGAGTTGAATAAAAACACAATAGCAACTTTCTCGTCTCCCTATGTACCGTAGAATTTTTCGTGAGTTTTTTTGTTCATTTTTAGGTACCTATTCATATTTTTTCCATTGCTCTGAGCGTTTTCTACAATGAACTTCGAATAAGAAAACCTTTTATGATTATCTGAAACATATCTACAACAAAAATATATTATATGTGTTTTGAAGAGCAGAAAAAAAATGCTAGCAATAATAACATCCAAAAAGAACACTATAACTATAATGCAAATTGAAATGAAGTAAGTAATTCATATACACAAAAAAATTAATTGTGCAATAAATGTTCGAATTGGAGTCCTTCCATTTCGAGACAAATAATGGTACAATAAGGTGGTCTGCAAGATCACCAGATCTTACTATTTTGAACTATTTTCTATGGAGGAAAATAGGATTTACGCTGGCAGAAAGATAGAAAATGTGGAAGACTCGAGATTGAGGATTTTGAATGATTTCGCAACAATGCAGCAAATAAGTGTATTAAGGGCAATAAATAATATAAAAAATCGAGTTCAAAAATCTCTCGAAATGGAAGGACTTCAATCCGAATATTTACTGCGCCAATAATTTTTTTGGGTACCTAAATAAAGTACTTCATTTCAATTTTCATTACAATTATAGTGTTCGTTTCGGATGTTATTATTGCTATCATTTTCATTTCTTTTTCTGCTTATTAAAACATATAATATATTTTTGATGTAGATATGTTTTAAATAATCATAAAAGATTTCCTTGATATAGATAAAGAAGTGATCAATCGGACATAGCACTCAAGAAAGTGGCAAACCATAGACACGTGTTTCGGGCTTGGTTACCAGAAGAAAGAAATACAAATGACCGAAACACGTGTCTATGGTTTACCACTTTGTCCGATTAATTACTTCCTTATCTTTATCAAAACACTCGATAACATTCATATTTTTATTATTTCCTGAACCCGGATGTCACGCAGGTAGCTATAGTGGTGATTTTGACAGTTTTCTTGTACGAAAATACTTGTTTTGATTCCCCTGCATTTTGGTTTTCAAAAAAATGATATGGAATTTAGTATTTTTCATTCAACTAGTTGTTAGTTGCGAAATCGTATTGTTTGATAATGGATACTTTACAAATATTTTTTTCTTATCAGTTAACATGAAGTACAATATGCGGAAGAAGATTCAACATATAACCTGCACTCATAATAACATCACGGAAAATGTCGACAATGAACTTTTTCGAAAATAAACAAAGTCTTATGATTTCAAGTCGATGTTTACACTTTCATGTCGTACACATGAGTTAGGTAAAACAATGTTCGAGTTGTTGATGATGGTATAAAAGAATGTCCAACCTAAAAATAGTCATTCTATTCATTTCCTTCAATTTCATCCACAATGAACAGATACAACTTTTTTGTTGTTGCAGCGGTATTAGGCATGGCAATTTGTGTGGTGAGTCAACTAAATTTTACTAGGAATAACATGCTAATAGATACACTGCAATATATGCAACATATATAAAATTGTAATTTATAAAACATTTATCAAGACTAGACTAACAATTCTGCTCCTGAAAGGTGCTCTGTGTAAAGAAAAAACGATAAATTTGGATACAGAGAAAATAATGTGAGGTAAAAAATAATTTTCATTTTGTAACGGTGACTTTATTTCTTTTGCAAGATGGTATTTTTAATGATTCTTTAGTTTTTCCGAATTCGCTAACCAATTTTTACATTTTTCCTCACAAAGTTTATTTATTGTTACCGTTGTCCATTTTCACTGAACTCTTTTAATGGTTGATTTCATTTCGATGTTAATAACAATCTCTGGCTTCAAAATATTTCAAAAATATTGTTCTCGAAATATAACACTTAGAAAATTTAAGTCATCGTACAATTTCTATTGACACTTCTACGTGAAGTGTTCAACTGACTCAACGAGCGTAATCCCACCCAGAACGATATGAGTATGTGGCAATACACTGCTTACGTACTGACCATACTCAAACTCTTCAAATACTCTTTCATTCGGAGAACACCATCCTCGTAAATAAAATTCTCGAAACTGTTGTTCCAAATTAATATAATTCGCAACGATTGAATCCAACATAAATCGCCAATTTCGCACACTTACCATCCTAAGAGCGTTTCAATTGAGATTCTGCAGAACCTACTGCATCTCCATGAAAAAGAGTAGTTGAAAAATAATTATAAAATCATAAAAGAGGTTTGAAGCAGAAATATAAACAATATTACATCATGAAATATGTAACAATATATAACATAAGCGTGCTATTTAAGAAGCAAAATAAATTAATAGCTAGATTTACCCTAGACGATTTACCCTAGAATCATTGCAAATATCATGTTGAAATAGCACTCATTCAAAACAGGGAACATTATTGAAACATGAAAATAACAGAAATAACAAAAAATAGTTTTTTTATTGTTGTTTCGGTGACTTTATAAGATAGGCTTATCAAAAGTTCATATCGTCGTCACGAGGTTGATCTTTAAAAAATAAGATATGGCATATTAGTTTTACCAAAAAATTTATAATTGTGGTAGTAACAAATGCCGTTATAAAAATGACTTCAATAACTCGAAAAAAAAAGCTTCACCAACCACTCAATTCTTCATTTTTTTTCAAACTTCTCAGAAAGCACCGTGTTCACTCAAAATGACAGTCTACGTTGAAATTGGAAGGTAGTTTTGATTACAAATTTAGAGGGCACCAAAATCACCAATGGAATCGAGGTTCCGACCGTGCCATAAAGCACTATGTAATGAAACTTCACTACTGCCTCGGTTTTCGATACTTTCTCTTTGAAACCTTCCATACAGCTTTTTGTATACCTACTCAAACTAATGAACTACCTACGTTGATCATAAATTCATAGGGCAGTTATAATTACCGCGCCGTGAAGCATAATTTTATTAACATTTTAAAATATTGAAACTTTGCTTACATCTTCACTTGCATTACTCACAAACTTTGCTGGAAGTGTTATTATGCCTTTTTTAAGGCATATGCAGTATGTCATTATATAGAATGTTAAAAATAGAATCATCAATCGATGTAGTTCAACACGCGGGGTATACAGGCTTATTCAATAATAACATTATCAAAGTCGGTTCAGAATTAGGGAATATATGGAATTTTTGTCTGTGCGCCGCACTTTCTTTCAAATGTGTTTTTTCTAGTTATACGAATATGTTTGTAACAAATCGATATTTTGGAAATTCGCAAAGTTATGTGCGAAAAGACGTTCTGAAAATAACATACTTTTTTGGGCGCCACTTTGGTGTGCGAAATTCAAAAAAATTGTTGATCCGTTTTCGAAAATGTAGAAATTTAGTTTTCGAAGAAGAAAATCCACTAATAATACCCACCTCTGAGTCTTATACTCAGGGTTACAATTTTAACGATTTTAACGTTATTTACAATATGTTGCACTGACGACGTTTCGTTCATAAGATCATCAATAACTTTTTCCATAGGGACATGTATTGAAACACATAGCTGAATTTGTTAATACAGTGGCTACATGAATCGATAAAAAACCTAGAGATCCGTATTTAAAAAAATAAAGTTCATAAAGAAATCTGATGAACGAAACGTTGTATTGAAAATTGGTTTATATCAGATTATAACAAATTTGAAACAGTGATGTTAGTTCAGCTCCTTTTTTTATATCGTTCGAAATGGAAGCGGTAGAGCCAAAAAAGGAAATTCTAGTTTTTGGCGAATATTTGAAAACAGCCACTGATCTTCTCTATCTGAAAAGATATTCTTGTTTCCTGAAATAGAAAACTCCTATTCAATTCAATCAACCTTGTAGGTCTTATCGTTCCCGAGATGGCAATAGTGGGATCAGTTAAAAAAACGGCCTGATAGTATTCTAAATATTATAATGACTCACTAAACTATATCTGCTATGATATATAACTATTATATTTATGTATGGAACAACTAATGTTCGAAAGTTTGTGACTACAATTCCTTTTATTGCATATTGCTATAATGATGCCTTACCGAGTTAAAATTCAAACTAAGTCGCCAATGCCATGGTTCTCCCGAATTGAACATTTCACGCCTAAATACAAATATTAGATAGTAACAAAATTTTGAAACATTTCATTAAAATAGTATCATATTTGTATCGTTTCAGAACATTTTTTTCTTTATTCATTTATTTATTTTTTCCAGCATCCATGTTGTTTGAGACCTGCTTTGGCGGACCCTAATGCACAACTTCTTGCAAAACTTGCTAATTTGTTGCCACCACCTGCACCACCTGCATACCCTCCACCTTGTATCCCTGGTTTACCCAACCCTTGTGCACCTGCTGCACCAGTGTCCATTTCACTGTCTCCTACACTGGGATTGTTGAGTAAAATGAAGGCTAGAATGTGTGCAAAGTTATGCGGAGGCTCGAACAGCTTACTCTCAAACCCTCTACTTTTGCAACAATTGCAAATGGCTGGTGCCGGATGTCTGTAATTTGATATAAATATACCTACATTTTATATGTAAATGCATTTTTTTTTAATTCATCAGCTTTCAAGCTGACCTTCAATTCGATAACATATTGATTGCGTAATATATATCTATAAAATCAAGAAAGGTTAATGCAGTCTAGCTGCTGAGAAATAATGTCTTACTACGTTTCACACTAAGCAATATCTTGTTACTCCAAGGGAGTATCTACGAAAATTCCTGAGGTACAAAAATGGATGATGAAATCGGGATACTCCAAGGAAACTGTTCACTATCTGGTGGCCTGGAAAAAATATTTAAATAAGGTAAAACGAAAAACATAGGTAGCACTTATACCGGCCAGACACACCTTAGGTTGAAACCCCTATATTGGCTATACTCTATGAAGGTTTAACCCATGAAAACATATGCATCTATGGTTGCCAAAGATGAAACAAACGACTGCTATCAACAGACTAAGTAGGATGCAAACACTTGCCTGTTCGGAAATAATGAAAGCAGCAGACTGGAAACCACAGCTACAGCTGCATTGGAGATGCTATTGAATTTCCTTTCTTTACATTTTGTAGCAATGGGAAAAGCAAGAGTAGGCTAATTCTGGTACAAGGTACCAGGGATACCAGAGCATATTCTAAAATCATCTGATGATCACGGTATAAAATGGAGTGAAACAAAAAACATCGCCAAAGAAAATGATTAAAAATTAGAATACTCAAAGAATTCGATATATTCTTCTAGCACAGCCATAGTCTAAGTGTGTTCCGCAGAACCCTAGGGTTCCCCAATACTCCTCTAGGGGTTCCGCAAGAAATTAAAAACAAATTCAAAACGCCTCTCTCTGGTGGACCGTTTTGACGGGACGTATCACGAGCGCAGCCGAACTAGTCACAACCCACCACAGTATACTTTGCTCAGTCAAATGATTGGCAATATTGGCATACTTTGTTGAGTCGACACAAACGAGCCACCGTCCGAGACAAAGCTACCGTTGCCTTGCCGAAAGGCGGCGTTCGGCTATGCAAGCCATCTGGGTGAACGTACCGTACAATTTTACTATGCCGCCACCGCCGATATCTAGTTGTAAACGCGCAGTCCCTTTGATAAAAGCCGCCTCTGAGATGAGACGCTATAGTTGTGAACAGGCAACTTTCGGCTCTACCATCAAAACATGAAGTCGAAATTGTTTACACCATATTTTTTGTATTCATATTTTTATTTTGGCTTTTTACTTATCAAAGGCGCCGATCCGAGTATTTTTGAGAATGTTCGAGATCGAGGCTAGGACTATGAAAGCGACGATCGCGGACCGACACTCAGTCGACGATTAGCGTTCGGAGTGATGAATAACTACCTGCTAGAAACGAAGTGTTTATTGTTCTACTGTAGTATTCTCAGTTTGGTTCATTTCTTCTTTGGGCTAACGTGACTATCGTGCTTTGTTTTGACCCCACCATCTTGACATGTAACATTATTAATAAAGAGGAATAAAACGTTGGGTTAAAGGCATTAAACGTGTGAAGTATGATGAATCATATATCAGTTTCGGATTTGTTGATTCCAACGGCTCACCTTTCTGCATGCTGTGTAGTAAACTGCTTTCTAATAGTTCCATGGAACCCGCGAAGTTGCGTCGAGATTTAAAAATTGTACATCCCGAGACTGAAGACAACAATAAGGAATTTTTTGTACGTAAAAAAGAACAGTTATTGGAAAGTCAAAAAACTATGATGCATGTAATCCAAACGATACTGTTTCACGAATAATTCATAATCTGTCATCAAGCTACGTCAAATAAGAACTAATTACACATCTACAAAAACACGATTCATCTTGCAAATGAATGAATCGACTGATATCGCTAGTGTCTAGCTATCTTGCTGGTGAGATATACATATGAAAGTTCTTTTGAAAATGTCATGTTTATATGTTCACCGCTGCCCATAAACACTACCGAAGAAGAATTTTCAATAAAATAAATAGGTATATTTTTTGAAGAAAATCCAGTTGGAACGATTGCATTTCCATTTGTACAGATGGAGCCAAGGCGATGAAGGGTGGATAAAACAGCAGGATTAGTGTCACAAATAAAAATAGTGTCTAATTGTAATTCCAGGCATTGCATCCTGCATAGACAAGCACTTGCGATGAAGGAAATGCCGTCAAATCTTAAATACGTATGGATGAAGCGGTAAAAATAATAAATTTTATTAAATTACGACCACTACAATCCCGATTGCTCTCATTATTATGTGAGGATTATGGCAGCAAACATAAAACACTGCTGCTCCGTACAGAAGTGTGATGACTGTCTCGGCGTAAAATTTTAACGAGGCTACTTGAACTTGGAGCCGAGTTACAGATACTTCTTTTAAATTTGACAGACCGTTTGTATGATAGAACTTGGTTGTTTCGACTGTCTTCTGTGACGGATATCTTTAAAAAACTGAACGAATTGAATTTATCATTGCAAGGTAAACAGACAACAGTGTTCCAGGTATGTAACAAAATAATTGCTTTCAAAAGAAAAGAAAATTTTAGATTGTTTGCGATGGTAAGAGTGAAAGAGAAAACTTTACGTCACTCAGTGAGGTTGTTAGCGATAACGACTCTGAAATATTTCTAGAGATGTATTCGAAGAATTGGTCCAATATCTCACTTCTTTGCACGCATCTTTTGAGAATTATTTCCCCAAAGAACAGAATACAAAAATTAAAATAAATTCACGGATTCATAATCCTTTCTTACCCAACTTGGAAAAGCCTGAAAGTATGTCAAACAAGATATATGAATCTCTTTTAGAAATATCAGCAGACACAAGTATGGAGTCACTGATCAAAACGACGCCTCTCAACGATTTTTCATGGAAAATTCGTGATGAATATCCAATGATTGCCGAAATGGCTCTGAATATTCTTCTCCCGTTCCCAACAAAATATTTGTGCGAAACAGGATTCTCAACCTATGCAGCCACAAAAACAATACCGCAATAGATATGAGATTTCAACTGTCTTCTATCAAACCTAATATCAACTAGTTGATAAAAAAAACAGTTTCATACCTTCCATAAGTTAGATTTTTTTCTTTTCAATATATTGGTTCTACTATTATACTTGTTATGTAAGTAATAAGTAACTGTTACATTGTACTTTTGTTAGGCTTATTAATAAAGAATACACTTTGAAAAACTATTGTTTTATTGTAGGGTTTCGTCAAGTTTTTCGCTTTCCGAAAGGGTTCCGTCACAAAAAAGTTTGAGAGCGGCTGTTCTAGCAGATAACAAGTGTATTTCAACTAGTGAAGATAGATTTACCTGGTTGCCATTGCTAAAGCGAGAGATTGAAAATTAAAATTCGAAACATATAGTAAAAAAAATAATGATTGAGAGTAAAGCGCGTTGTCATATCTAAATTTTACGTTACCAGTTTATAGCAGAATCAAAATATAGTAAGCAGTAGAGTTGTAGGTTGTGGCAAATTATAGATAATACACAATACTAGTACGATTAAAAGGTATTATTTATGACAAAAATCAGTAATGAGCTTGTAATGAGTAATACTTATACATTTCCTGATTACTGATCAGTTAAAATTCATTATTTTCTGTATAGTGTTAGATATTTATTACAACTAGTGGCAACGCTGTACGCAACGATATTTCTGTCTTTGTCACTTTACCGTAACTTCCATC